AGGAAGGAAGGAAGGAAGGAAGGAAGGAAGGAAGGAAGGAAGGAAGGGCAATAGCACTTAGACTTATATACCGCTTCACAGTGTTTTGCAGCCCTTTCTAAGCGGTTTCCAGAGTCAGCCTATTGCCCCCAACAGTCTGGGTCCCTGTTTTACCAACCTCAGAAGGATGGAAAGCTGAGTCAACCTTGAGCCGGTCAGGATCAAACTGGTGGCAATCAGCAGAATTAGCCTGCAATGCGGCATTCTAACCACTGCGCCACCAGTGCTGTCATGCATGTCGTGTAAAGCATAGTGCCATCTTGATTTAGCTTCAAGTTGATTTTCGTGTGACTTTTTATCATTTAAACGGTATTCAGTGCAAAGGTTGCACACTGCAAAGCGCTGGCTTTGTCATCAGTTTTATTTACAGCAAAAGCCCAGAGGCATTTTCAGAAACAAAAATGATCGTTGAGTACAGCTCAGAGATCTTGGCAAGGGCATCCAGTGGTTCCCTGGGCACCTTGGAGGCACTCATGGGAGCATTGTGAAAATGCCACCAAAGGCTGCCAAAGCAATCCAGATGACTGACTTAATGTACATTGTTTGCATAATCATGTAATTGATATAATTGCATTATTTGCAGCCATCTGCATCATTCCACAATTATTCATCTCCCCATCATGCAGGCTTTTGCAAACCTCGTAAGAATCTGCTAAGAAGCTCCAGGGAGAATTCAAGCATATTAACATCTGCTTTAAGCCAATGTGAACAACCTATTCTAACACACTTTGGGCTGCCTTTAAAAGTCTTGTTTCCAAACTTTGTCCAACAAATCGTGGTCTTCTTTTGGAAAACTTTGGTTACTTTGCCTTTCTACAATGTTTTATTGGTGCAGGTCAAATGCTACCAGGTAGATCCATAATCATGATGGGAAACTGTGTAAAATGAAATTTAGGATTCTTGCAAGGCTGGGGAGCACACAGTGAGTGTGCAAGGGCCAGTGTGCCTATGTGTCATGCCCTTGTTAGAGTCAGACTCTGAGGGAGAGGAGGAACAGCTGACAGGGAGTGGAGGTGTGGCTCCAGAAGTTGTGGAGGGGCAGAGGCCAGTTGGGCAGTCCGAGGAAGAACCAGGCCCATCCCCTCTGCATCCTAGGACATGCAGGGAGGAATGGAGAAGGAAACAACTTGGCTTACGAGAGAGGAAGCGGCCATGATCCCCATCATTGGTTGCAGCTGGAGAGACTAATATATAAGAGAGACGATTACAACACAGCGTTGCCAGAAGCAAAGCATGTTTTCTTTTGGGCTGAAGTTATCTTGGTTGGCATCCTTCTAACAGACTGTGCATTGTTATCTCCTTGAAGTTGGTAATTACTTATCCTGGTCCGTTGTGGAAATTCCTTCACTGTAGTTTGTTTTAGTTTTTTATTTTACCTCTATCTGCTCATTAAGTTCGGACTGTATTGCTTTCTTTTGAAGACTATTTTTGCATAAGTGTTATCTCCAACTGAGAACTATTGAACAGTGGGGCTAAGTTGGAGGCATTAAAGGACATTTATTTACGTTTGGATTTTGTTATGTTTGTGTTACACTCCGGGTCATCACACTGTGTGTCTGAATAATTCATTTTCCATTGCAGAACAAACACATGTGGAAGAAGAAGGATTGGCAGAACCTGGGGGCAGAGTTAAAAGAGGACTCAGCCTGCAATCCCTATGTACTCACAAGTGAACAAACGTTTTGGAATTCTGCTCACCATATAAAACTCCAAACAGGTGCTATTAGTTGACAATAGTCCTGTGCATAGACATGAGTAGCAATAAATCGTTTTAATTGGATCTTCACATGTAGATCTGATCTTTTGACACACATCCAAGTTATATTAGATGACCATCCAACATACAAAAATGCCAGAGACCGAAAAATGCATAAAATTACTTTATTTTCAGTATACATGTAATTTCGAAAAATAGAAATGCTAAAATATCTCATCTTCTTCATTTCTTGATTCCATAAAAGTCACAATAGAAAGCCTCATAAAAGTGTAAAATCACGTGTTATATATAATATGGAATTTCACGGTTTTAGTTCTTATAGTATTATTGACAGAAACCATGGCGTCCTCTGAGAGTTTCCTTCCCCCAGTTTCCTATTTGTTCCATCGTCTCAATCTTCATTTTTAAATAAAGTGGCTGTGTTTTTCTTTTTTCTTTTCCTCATCAGTCACTCCTCCAAAGCAAATACAGACTTTTAAATCGTTTTTAAAGTCAACAAACAATAACAAATAACAACAAAATAACTACCCCAAACAACAGTACAAAGTTATCTGAAAGTGCATTTCAATTTGCGGAAAAAACATCTATGCAGTTGTGTAAAGGAGGGTGAGAGAAAAAAAGAGAGAGAGGAGAGGGAGACAGAGATAGGTGGACAGGAGCTTCACATTGTGACAAAAATTATCTCTGGCTCTTTAAAAGTTGACTCCATGTTAGCCCTGAGCAGAAATATACTTGGTAGAGTTTGGCTGTGAAGTTGTGCTAAGCTGGATGGACCTAACCTCTTCCTTCTCTGCCTCCTTCCCTGCCTTGCAATTCATGGAGGTTGTTACAGAACCCGAAAGTTGTCCAGGGGTTGGCTGCTACCAGTTTGCACCAGTTCGGGCCTGTACGGAGACTCAGGGAGGGCAAAACACAGGCCTCCCGGAGGCTCTGGAAGGAACAGGCATGTCTCCAGCCTCCAGAGAGCCTACGGAGCCCGGGGAGGCTGTTTTTCGCCCTCCCAGAGGCTCAAGGAAAGCCTCCGGAGTCTGGGGAGGGCGAAAACACCCCCCCACACACTGTGGTGCAGGAGGCCGACTAGGCCATGCCCACCATGGCCACACCCACCCAGAAACCAGGCAGAGAACACTTTGCTAAAAAAAAATTGAAGCCCAATCATGTCTTTTACCATAGAGAGGGCCAGGAATGGCATTGCTCCAGCTGTTGAGTGCTTGGCATGTTCTATAGATGCAGAAGGAGGCCACTCAATTCCTGCCCTCTCTATGGTGAAAGGCATTGTGCCTTTCGCCTGGATCAGAGGTCTCCAAACTTGGCAACTTTAAGGCTTGTGGGCTTCAACTCCCAGAATTCTCCAGTCAGCTATGTTTGGAGACCCCAGCCCTGGATCATTTGAATGAGGACCTCATTCTATGACAGGTAGTTCTCAACTTACAATAGTTCAATGAGTTACCATTTGATGTTACAATGGCACTAAATAATGGACTTAGGACATTTATAACCATTGCAGCATTCCCACGGTCACCTAATCAAAATTCAGATGCTTGGCAACTGACTCATATTTATGACGTGTCCCGGGGTTATGTGATCATTTTTGTGACCTTCTGACAAGCAACAGCAGGGAATATTTACTTCACAGCTGTGTTACTCACCACAACTGTGGCGAGAAAGTCTGTGAAAAGGGACAAAATTCACTTAACAACGGTCTTGGACAGCAACAGAAACGTTGGGCTCCATGGTGGTAGTACGTTGAGGACTACTTGTAGTCCTAAAAAAAATTACATGAAGCTATATATCCTCTTTGGAGATTGGCAATAGCCTGGTTTCCATGTTTTCCTTATTTGTTGGAAAACTGTTAGCTTGGCTGGAAGGAGGAGTCAAGCAAGGTTCTAGCTTGGAGTCCTTGTGCAGCCGCAAGGGGCAATAAGCTTGACTTCCCCTCCCAATTTCCATAAAGCCTTATCTGGTCATTCCCAGGAGAAGGCAAGCTAAGCTGTCTGGGGAGATTCTTGCAACATAGGTGTTAAACAATAAAGTTTCTGACTTTGGCTGTTTACGAGTGGCTCTGGTTGATTGCACCTGATATTAAGATCATGTACCTTTACGTACCTTTCTTGACTGCATGGGATAAAAGACATTTCTAAGGGTTGCAAGGTCAGTTTAGCAATCCTGCAGGGAAAACATTTCACCCATAATATAGCCTGCAACATCTGAAATGGTTGAGGCTGTCTAAACCAATATATCTCAACCTTAGCAACTCTTAAGATGTGTGGATTTCAACTCCCAGAATTCCCCAGCCAGCCAAGCTGGCTGGGGAATTCTGGGAGTTGAAGTCCACACATCTTAGAGTTGCCAAGGTTGGGAAACAATGATCTGAACATTGCAACTGGTTTGGGATTTGTTCATTGGCTCCTCACTCCCCCCTCAAAAAAATTTTTTTTTAATTCCAAGCACTGCAAGCGGCCAATAGTAATCCTATCCAGTGCTTGGGATTCAAAAAGTTTTAACCACCGGTTCGGTGGCCGTGGCTTGGTGGGCGCACTTTGCGTGCGTGCACACACTTTGCACACCTTTGGGACAACCCTGGATGACTGAGGATCTCCATAGACAAGAATACAGGTAGCCCTCCACTTACAACCGTTTGTTTAATGACCCTTCCTAGTGACAGTGGCAAAGTGACTTGTGAACCAAGTGACTTATGACCGGTTTTTCACACTTACAACCGTTTTAGCATCCCCATGGCCATGTGATCAAAATTCAGATGCTTGCCAACCGGTTCGTATTTATGAAGGCTGCAGGGCGATCCCCTTTTGCGACCTTTTGGTGACAAAGCAGAGTCAGTGGGGAAGCCAGAGGTCACTTAACACAATCGTGTTACTAGCTTCTCAACGGCAGTGATTTTCTGAACAACGGTGGCAGGTTAAAAATGGGACCAAACTTTACTGATGAACCGTCTCGCTTAGCGACAGAAATTTTTCGGCTCAATTGGGATTGACAGTTTGAGGACTAACTGTGCTTCCTTTTGTGGCAGGACGCCGTGCCAATTCAACGGGCCTTAAAAAGACCATTTTAAGTGCAAGGTCAATGCGGCCAGCCATTTAAACACAAAATAAATAAAATAAAATTGTGCAGTTTAAGTGCTCCTAGTACCCGGAACTCATAAAATGAGACACTTCTCTGTCTCTATTTCCTTTCCCCAAATTTAAACAGTAAGAAGCAGCTTTGCTGGCTGGGGAATTCTGGGAGTTGAAGTCCACCAGGCTTAAAGTTGCCAAGGTTGGAGACCCCTGGGAAGAAGAACCCAACAAGGGGTTTTTATTCTTCTTGCTGTCAACAATGCCAGACTTAGTGCAAAAATAACAATAACAACACAAGTTTTGTTCAATGAGCATTAGTTGCCAAAGGGAATTCAAGTGCATTTCCTATAATTTAGGAGAGGAAGATTGAAGACTTCCACAAGTTAATTTGCCTCTGCGCACATTTGGGGACGTTTTGCAAAAGCACACAGTTTTTACATTACTGCTGAAAAACATCACGGCTCCTTTCCAAAATTCTACACTTCCTTCCTTTTGTGCTTCTCAACGTTTAATTTTAGCAGCAGGGTGCTCCGAGGTATAGCCAGGTAATAAAAGTACGGCAGTCTTTGAACTTACGACCATTTTGTTTAGCGGCTGTTCGAAGTTACAACAGCTTGCGCCCTGGTCTTTTGCACCCATGGCCGTGCCAGTGTCCCCCACGGTCACGTGATCATGATGTGGGCCTTTGGTAATCACGTGATCACTCGTTTATGACGGTCGCAGTGTCCCATGTTCACACGACTACCAATTGCGACTTTCCTAGCCATCTCCTGATGGCTAAAGTCCAAGGGGAACTGTGAGAAAAGGACAACGAGGCCCTAAAGTTGGTGTAGGCCTCAGCTTAATTGAAGGCCTCAAATTAACAATATATAACAACGCCGGCTGAGGTGATTTCACAAGCATGGCGAAATATTTGCAATCTGCTAGCTGAATTTGCAGGCATAGCAATGTGTTTGCTATCTGCTACTTCTGCAAAAAGCATACATTTGCTGGACAATCAAAAGTAGAACTGTTTTGGATCAGGAATGTCTGGGTCATTGAAAAAAAGGGGGACTGAAAGTAGCAGCTGGTAAGCGAGTTGGCATCTACCTACAAGTGGGTATTAAGTGATGGACTGTATGAGGGAACAGGGAAGTACGTCCAGTAAGATTACATACCACTGGGTGGGCTTCAGAAGAAGAAGGGGGTAAAAGAAGGGGGTAAATCTCAAATCAGGGCCACTGATAGTAGCTATCCTTTCTGGAGTTAGCAACTGTCTCTGGACCTCATTGCAATGGGCTAAGTTGTGTTATGATGGCTTTTTCATGTTCCAAATTGCTCATGAAATAAACATCTGATCTCAAAGTAAGATTTATTGCCTTTGGTTTGTCTGCGTATTTCTTTTACTGAATTATTTTTATAACAAGAACCCAGCAGGGAAGGTCACAAGAAAGGATCATGGGATGTCTCACTTAATGACTTTAGCCAACAAGGCAGTAAAATCAGGTGTGTGTGGGTGTCACCTGATGCCTCATTTAATGGCCATGCCACTGAAGGATGGATTTTCCAAAGCCCAATTGGGTGAATAGCTACCAGAATTTGTTCTCTCACACATTAGAAATTTAATCCAGCGACTTAGCAATTGTACCTTGATTCAAATACCAATTTGCTGGCAGTGACAATAAGCTGAATTGATACAATCCTAAATTCTGCTGAACCGATAAAAAGCAATCTTTTTTTCCTAATATTGCCATTTTTTTCCGATGCCATTTTCCCCCTAATATTGTTCCTATGCCAAAAGGTCCCCTACTTCAAAGCTCCAATTCATAAGTATTTGTGGGTTGTTATCACCGCATTCATACAAAGCCATTATTCATGTAACCGTGATTTGACTAAACCACAACCTGTAAACACCTTACTATTTACATCCATGCACTAAGCCGTAGACCACTTTACAACTTACAATAGCTGGGTTCTCACAATTTGCGGAGCCCAAATCACCCTCCCAAGCCATGGTTTGGTACCTCAGCTGAGGTACCAAATGTCTCCCATTACCTGAAAACTCACCTAAGATGATTCCATGGAAGTTATCCCCGCCAGAAGGAATTTGTTTGGATTCTAGTTTGACATCTTTAATTTCCCTGCAGGCCATTAAACCAGTTTCTGATTATTTTACTTCTTCCATTCTAATTCTGTCATAGGAATTAGAGGGGAGTTTTTCAACCTTAGGAACTTTTAAGAACCTCACCTCCCAGAATCCCCCAGCTAAATATGAGCCAGCGGTGTGCAGTGGCAGCCAAAAAAGCCAATGCTCTCCTAAACTGCATTAACAGAGCAGAGGGATACAATCAAGATCAAGGGAGGTACTAATACCACTCTATAAATCCTTAGTAAGACCACACCTAGAGTACTGCATCCAGATTTGGTCACCACTCTATGAAAAAGATGTTGAGACTCTAGAATGAGTCCAGAGAAGAGCAACCAGGATTATGAGGGGACTGGAGGCTAAAACATATGAAGAACGGTTGCAGGAACTGGGCTTGGCTAGTCTAGTGAAGAGAAGGACCAGGGGAGACAGGATAGCAGTCTTCCAATATTTGAGGGGCTGCCATGGGGTGGGTGGGGGTTAAGCTATTTCCCAAAGCCCCCGAAGGCCAGACTAAAGGAATAATGGATGGAAATTGATCAAGGAGAGATTCAACCTAGAAATAAGGGGAAAAATTCTGATGGTGAGAGCAATCAATCCTTGGAATAGAAGTTGCCTTTGGAAGTTGTGGGAGCTGGGCAGCGAACCGGTTGCTGGGATTGTTCAATCCCGCCCCTGGGTGTGTGTAAAAAAATCTCTGTGCGACCAAGACAGGCACTGCAGAAACAGGAAAGGGGCTCGGCAGATTGTTCCACTCGCTTTTGAACAGATACCAGTTGGGGGGGGGAAAAATTGAGTATTTTGAACAAGCATCCTGATGGTTAAAAGGAAAGAAGAAATGGAAAGAAAAGAAAGACGATTAACAAAAGTATTGATACAGCTGATTTAAGTTCTATGCTATTTAGCCCTCTTTTTCAAACTCAGCCACTTTACAATGCGGGGACTTCAAGTCCCAGAATTCCCCAGCCTGCATGGAATTCTGGGAGTTGAAATCCATACCTCTTAAAGTCGCCAAATTTGAAAAAACACAGGTCTTATACCCTTGAGCTTGTATTTTTGGTGTGGTTTTTTTTTGTTCTTTTTGTAAAAATCACATTATATAATATATTATTCAATTATTATTATTATTATTATTATTACTACTACTATTATTAAAACATTTTCTTTATTTTATTTTTATTTATTTTTTTAAAAGAAAAGGCCCAAATCTAGAAACGAGAGGTAGAACTACTCAAAACTAATATTTCCTGCTGCAGGAAAAAAAAAGTCATTTTTTTTTACACTAAGTTTTAAAAAAATGTTTAAAAATCGACCATTCTCACCCCACCCCTCCCTACCCCAGAAAATGTTACAGATTAGGCCCCCCCATAATTTAAAACAGATAACACTTTGTCAACACAGCCGACAGCTTAAGAATCCATTTCAGTGTTACAGAATAAAAGTTGCATAGGAGCGGGTTATACAAATGTCACGTAGTAATGGCGGGGAAAAAAAGAAATGCATCTGTGTGGGCGTGCATCTTTTCGATTGCTTTGCACCAAAACACAGAAGCAGAGGTGACATTAAGAGCATGTTATAAGATAGCAGCATTTTTTTTTTTTTTTGCAGGAATCGAGAATTATCAGGAATTTGCCTGAAAGTCAGTTTTGTTCTGCTTAGAGAGAAAGAAAGATTTTTTTAAAAAAAACCCAAAACCCAAAAATCTTAATATCAACAAATGCCCCCAAAGAGCAGAAGGATGGGAAACGGTCTGTTTTTTTCAGACAGCAAACCACGTTGCAATAATATATCCTTAATACTTGCACCCACTTCTGAAAAGCAACAGTGCGCCCATATTGAAAAGGCAGGGACAGGAAAAATTGGTCAGAAATGAAAGGGAAGAGAATTCATTTGCGATGAAAAACACAGAATGGATTGAAGCAAGGAAGAAACAGAATAAAATCTAAAGGAAGAGGGATACATGTAGGTTTTTTTTAAAAAAAAATCTAGATAGATAACAGCAACTGAACAATCGACTAGAGAAGACAACAAAGAAAATCCAGTTCAATAAAGCAGGAGTGGTCTTCCCCCAAACCTGGCCACTTTTTAAGACTTGTGGACTTCAACTCTGGGAGTTGAAGTCCACAAGTCTTAAAGTGTCCCAGGTTTTTGAGGAAAGCTCCTGCCATAAAGGATGAAGACTCAGTTGTGAAAGAAAAGTGTGTTCTGTTCCCTTGCTATTCCGAAAGTAGGCATGGTCTTCAGGGCTGAGCTCTATGCTAATCTGAGGCACAACATCCGTCAGGATTTTTCAGAGGCCTAGAAAGAAAAACCACACAATTGTCATTAAGAGATTATACACCTCCGTGAAAGGCAGCACAATAGGACTCTGGGAGCCAGTGATGGGGAACACCTAGGACACACGTGACGTGATGTTTTGGGTGACCCACCGGCGTTGGCCAACACCTGACAACTCTCCTTGAAAGCCCACCTTGTTCTGGTGAGGCTGTGGAGACCATGTGAGAAGGAGATGAGGTCTTGCATAGCCTTTGGACCCTTTGGAGGTCACAATAAGAGAGCCCGTCCCCAAAGTGCTTTTTCAGGAGGCAACTGGATTTTCTTTCTTTCTTTCTTTCTTTCTTTCTTTCTTTCTTTCTTTCTTTCTTTCTTTCTTTCTTTCTTTCTTTTTTTCTTTCTTTCAAGACATTTTGCTTCTCATCCAAGATGATTCAAGATGAGAAGCGAAACATCTTCGAAAAAAACAACAACAAGAAAGTCCCGTTGCCTCCTGAAAAAGCACCTTAGGGACAACCAGGGGTGGGATGCTGGGGGGGTTCGCAGGGGTTCAGGAGAGCCCCTAGATAAGACTCTGCACAGTTCAGCCCACAGTTCGAGCAAACCGGTAGCTCCAAAGATCAGCTGGCAGTGAACCAGTTCACTCCGAAGTTCAAGGTATTTCCTTTTTCCCCCTCACCGATCAGGTCCAGTAGGTAGGTAGGTAGGTAGGTAGGTAAATAAATAAATAAATAAATAAACAAACAAACACATACGTACATACATAAATTTTATATGTATGTATGTATGGTATGTAGGTTTCTTCGGGTATTTTCCCATGTCTTAATATTTATACTTTTATTATAGCGACATTTTGGCAGAATCTCATCTGCCATCCTCAGACTTGTGTATTGGATTGCCAAGCCTGACACACAAGGTTAAAAAGAACCCAATACACAAGCCTGAGGATGGCAGATGATATTCTGCCGAAATGTCGCTATAATAAAAGCACAACTATTAAAACGTGGGAAAATACCTGAAGAAACCTAAATACCATACATATAAATTCCCGCGAAAACAAATACCCGCGAAAACATAAGAAAACAAATTGTATGTGTGTATGTATGTATGTATGTATGTATGTATGTATGTATGTATGGTATTCAGCTTTGTTCGGGTATTTTCCCACGTCATTATACTTGTGCTTTTAAAGTTGTAGCAACGTTTCGGCAGAATCTCATCTGCCATCATCAGGCTTCTGTATTGTGTTCGTCTGTGAGTCAGACTTTTACAGTTGTTTCAGTTTTAAATTTGGGGCTTAGCCTACTGCTGTGCCAGAATGGTTTTTTCTTCATCCTGATTGGTTGGGAGTCTTGGTCTGTGTTTATTGATCTTGGAGTTTGCTGTGTTCTGCTTGATTGGTGTTTCTAATATCTTCTGTCTGTTTTGTGGCTTTTGTGTGTGTGTGTGTGTCTTGATTGGCTGGCAACATTGTGTTCCTTTATTGGAGGCTTTTAGTGCAGCTTGGCTACGAGTAAATGGATGGCTATCATTTGTTAGGAAGCTAGGTTTCGTCTGGGTGCCTGGTTGGGGTGTGTTTGAGCTGGAGGTATCAGGGGGAGTCTGTTTGTGCCCAGGTGTTTGCCTGGCTATTGGTGTGGAGCATATATATAATTGGTGTATATATATAATTTTTTGCCTACTGATCCTCAGGAAAGCCTCCTGGGAGCAAAAACGGGGTGCAAAGGGGCCACGCAACATCCCCCTACCCTGTTTTTGCTCCCAGGAGACTTCCCTGAGGCCCAGTAGGGGGGGGAAAATGTCCACCCAGTCACATGACTACTTGGCCACACCCATCTAGCCACGCCCACAGAACTGGTAGTTTAAAAATTTGCATCCCACCCCATCCTGCCCCTCCCAGGAGTCCCCCCCGCGGCCCGTATTGGATGCAGGTAAGTGCAGGCGTGGGCAGAGGCTCGGGGAGGGCCAAAAACAGGCCTCCCGGAAGTTCAGGAAGGCCACAAATAGGCCCATTCCTGGCTTCAAGAGAGCCTCCGGAGCCCGTGGAGGCTGTTTTCGCCCTCCCGGAGGCTCGAGGAAAGCCTTCAAAGCGCGGGGAGGGCAAAAACGCCCCCCACCGTCATGGTGCAGGAGGCTGACTAGGCCACGCCCACCGTGGCCACGCCCACCCAGCAACCGGGCAGAGAACCCGTTGCTCATATTTTTTGAAGCCCACCCTTGGGGACAACCATGACCTGGATGACGGAGAACCTCTACAGACTAATAAGAGAGCGGTGTTCTTATGTGTTCTCCGGAGACTCTGGAAATCATGGAGAAACAAGGGTTGTGTTTTGCGTGGTTTTGGGGAGCTGAAGGGACCATGGGGTGCGCTCTCATGCAGACTCCAGAACCTCCGGAAGCCTCACAAGAGGGCCGTGTTCTCATGCATCCTCCGAATGTCCGAAAAACACGTGGGAATGGAGCGCGTATTCAAGTGGTTTTTGGAGGCTGCGGGAGAGCATTTCCCAAAGCCACTTCAAAACAAAGGCCTTGTGTGATCTAGAGCTGCCTTAATTTGTCTCTATTTTTCTAAACAAAAAAAAAAAAAAGAAAGAATTAATACAGATAGTCCTCGACTTACAACCATTCGTTTATTGACTGTTTGAAACTACAACAGCACTGAAAAAAAGTGTCTTAATGACCGTTTTTCACACTTACAACAACCACTGCAGCATCTGCATAGTCCCATCTGAATCAAAATCCGGACATTGGGCAACTGACATGAACTTATGACGGTTGCAGTGTCCCGGGGTCAGGTGTGACCCCCTCCACTTTTGCGACCTTCTGACCAGCAAAGTCCAGGGGGAAGCCAGATTCACTGACCGACCGTGCTGCTCACTTAACGACGGCAGCAATTCACTCATAACATCTGTTGGCAAGAAAGGTCGTAAAATGGAGCAAAGCTCACTTAACAACGGTCTCGCTTAGCCACGGATGTTTTGGGCTCAATGGTGGTCATTAAGTCGAGGACTACCTGTCAAACGCAATAAATCTCACAAGAAATTTTAAGCCGGTGAGAAATTCCGTGAAGTTTACGCCTAATTTATTGAAGGCATCGTTCTGGATGAAAGCCGTTTGAAACAGCTATCCTAGTGTTTTCATTAGGGGTGTGTGTGTTTGTGTGTGTGTGTGCATGTGTGTGTGTGTGGATAAAATTTAGAAAGACATAAAGAGACTTACCTTGGCATGTAGGAATGGAAGTGAGGAATTTGATCAGCATGATGTATGCCGTTCAAGGAATGTTGCTTTTTCTTCTGTGTTATTGGGGAAAAACGAACATTTTATTTAGAAAGACCAATCCTTCTTTTCTATATGAAGAAATTCACATGACTGAAATAAAACATGTTGTTATTTTTTTCTGGTCTGGTTATTAATTAATCTCTATATATAAAAGTGAAATACCACTCTTGCATCATCACAAAATCTCCAGAACTGTAAAGCTTACAAACTTGAAATTTGTCACGTATGTTCCTCTTGGTTTCTAGGTGCTCACTAAGAAAGGATTTTTCGAAATGACCATCAGAGCATTAGTATTTCATATATTATTATTAACACGCTCGGATGCTGAGGAGTTCTACTCCCCCTCCCCACCTGAAAATAAATCTCTTCCAAATGCAAAACACAAGCAGAGGAGTTTCAGTTTTAGTTTCACAGCAGCAACCAGTTTTAGTACAGAACAGTTGAGCTAAGCCACGCCCAGGCTCCTTGCTGTCTCCTTCTTGCTCACACAGCAAATACTGCTTCAGTTTCCAAACAGCCCTCAATTCTCTCTCTCATACACACACACTGACAGGACACTAGCCAGATGAATACCAATGGATACTGGTAGGCAGAGGCAGAATTTTTCCCCCATTCCTTATTTTCTTCCCCCAAAACTAAGCCTGATCACATAGTTCCGTAGCGAAGCACGAATATCCAGCTGGTTCCTAATATACTTTAACAAAAGCTCTCTCGAAATAAACCAAATATTACATGGTAGTAAAACAACTTTTTATATACAGACTACGGCACCTCATTGCCTTCCCTTCCATGCTCCTTGCCCTACTGGGCTTTTCAAATTTTGAAGTATGATTTTAATCAGAAGAAAGATGACATGCTTCAAACCACAGGGCCAGCCCCCAGATTTTAAAAAAATATTATTTCCCAGAATTAAGACAAGTTGGCAGTCAAGAGGTCTTTTTATGTGCATTATGGCTGCCATCTTTTGAGTCCAGGTTTTGCAGACACCTCTGCAACAGATCTTTACGATATTCTAAGAAAATGAGAACAGCAAGTGAGAAAGAAAGAAAGAAAGAAAGAAAGAAAGAAAGAAAGAAAGAAAGAAAGAAAGAAAGAAAGAAAGAAAGAGGAAGAATTGAGAGACAGGGACCAGGTAATCTGAGGGCTGAAACACTTCTAAGGGGCCAGAGAGAGAGGCTCTAATCAACTGTATTAATTTGCCATTATCAAGATATTTTCTAAATAATCAGTGATCCTCTTTGCATACAGAATGTTTTCTATATGCCGCAAATGAGAAGATTAGATAGCAGAAGTATAAAACTCCAGGGGAAAAGAAAGCCTGCAAATCCACAGGCTGGATGATTTGAAAGTTTAAAAGAGAATCGAGCTAGGGAAGCACTAGTTACTGCCCGTTTAGTAGCTGCCTCAAAGCAACTAAAGCCAGAATCTCAGGGAGGGAGGGAGAGAAGAGGCCAAACATCCCAACATGTCTAAGTGCTTCAAAGCAAATACATTCTTTGAAAGTCAACAAAAATTCCACAGGTCAGGTTCAGAAAGAAAGAAAGAAAGAAAGAAAGAAAGAAAGAAAGAAAGAAAG